ATTTAAAAATTAGAATATATTTTAAAAATAGGCATAAAGAATTATATACTTCTTATGTTTACACCTAAGTCCTGAAAAGTAATATCTTAACAAAAAGTGGTACCTACCAGATTGGAAATCCTACGTTGGCTGGATATTGTCCTCTGTTCTCATATTTACCACAGTAAAATCTTGAGTTGGCTAAATGACTGTATTTGAAGAATGTTAGTTAAAAGACGGATTACAAACCAGGAGCGTCAATATACACCTACAATCCCAGCTACTTTAGAAACTGAAGCAGAAGGATTGCAAGTTGGAGCCCCATGTCGGCAATTTAGTAAGACTCTGCCTCGTAAAATAAAAAGGGCTGAGGATGTAGTTCAGGGGCTAGATCATCCAGGTTCAATCCCTAGTACTAAAAAAATCACAGAAAAATTTTAAAATATGTAATTTTTTTCAAGTAATAGTAGTTTATATCTGATACAGTGTAATGAAGAAGTAACTGATCTGCTATAGAGATGAGAATTAGCAGATCTCTGTAAACAGAGGCAATTGGTAGCCTCACAGAAACCACTTCCCAGCAATTTTGTTTATGCTGAAGAGTATTTGAAAGCAGAATTTCAGTCTACTTTGGTACAAGCTCTGTAAATTCAGGATTAGTTCCATCCCAATGAATACATTTCTTCGTTATTAGAACTCCCCAATCTTTCTTGCTTCTTTCTTTAATTTTTGGTGCTGGGAACTTGGGCCTCCCACATGCTAGACAAACGCTCTGTCCCTGAGCTGCAGCCACTTCTCCCGGTCTCTTTGATCTTCCTGTTTGTTTATGGGAGGGAGGTTGTCTCTGTTTACTTTATGATAGCTGTACTGACAGATAGGCTTGAATTATTCTTTGGGTCCATTTGTAAAAGCCCAAGCAGCAGCAGAGGGCACTGGGGCTTCTGTCCCTGCCTAGCCCTGGCTTCTCCAAGTGTCTCAGTGCGCCAGAACCCTTGGGGCATCTGTCTAAAGTGGTGCCTGGTTGTGCAAAGTAGGCTGTGTCCACCCAGCCCAGAGCTGTCTCGGAAACACACCTCAGTTACTGAATGGGGTCTGAGGGCACATGAAGATTAAATTTGCCTGAGCAGTATAAATAAAAGCTCGCAGATGCCTTGATTCTCGTGTCCGTGCTAGTGTTAGTAGCAGGGAAATCTAGAATAAGAAGTAGTTTAGCATGCTAAGGAATAGTTCAACTCTGGTAAAGAAGAAAATA